TTTAACACAGGAGAGGAGTGCTACCTACCCATCACCCACATTCTCCTTTACCCGTGTAGGGGTTACAGGACTCCTTACCATATAGCGCATAACATGGGGTGGTTCCCTTCAGCTTATCCCCTGGAACTCAGCTCTCTCTGAGTCCTAGCTCTCTCCCCCTCATAAGGGGGAGAGACAGTGCAGCTGTGTGGGCACCTTGGCTCGCAAAGACCACAAGGTCTCACCCTATCACTTGAGCCCAAGGTTCACCACCAAAATCCCAGGTCTTTTACCTCTGGGAAACATTCATTTTATTCTCTTGACTGCACTAGAAACTGGCCACAAGTTGCGATGAATAAACAACTCCACCCCAGTTAGGTACTAAGTGCATTCCTACTGAAGCATTGTGGCTCAAAGGTGCTGAGAAGAAGGCACAAAATTCTCTGATCCTCTGCCAATTGGCTCATGGGAGAAAAATTCCTTCCTGACCCCCTCAACAGATGATTGGTTAGACCCGCAGCATCTGCCAGGCCAGGTTCCCATTCCCAGTTCTGTTGGGTAGGGTGGACTGCTGGAATGGAGTCAAATAGGCTCCACAAAGCCCCCACACAGAGTTAAATTCTGGGATCTGGGGAATGCTGGACAATGAAAAGTCCTTTTCCCCAGCTGGTCAACAGGTGCTAGAGACTCCAAAGGGGAGGAGCTACTTATTATCCCTTGGTGAGAGTCTCCCTCCCTTGGTTCTGGGACTGTCCCCCTTTCACCGCTGGCCCCATCAAGTTCCCCCACCTGTTGATGTGGCTCAGTGGCATTTCTGCAGTTTGTAGGTCATTAAGATTTCTTTGCATCTGTCCACTAGTGTGCAAAATATGCCTGTAATTAAATGGCTGAGCAAACAAAAGCAATTTACTTTTTGACCATGTTTTGGAATTTCCTGCAATATCTTGGGAGATCTTACTGTATTAAGTTTATGTATCACTGTGGGCCAGGGACTGCATATAATTCCATCAGGGAGGGAAACCACAGCTCCTTCAGGAACTAAGAACAGTATGGAGATGATTAGGCAAATTCACTCAGGTTGTAACACTTCCAGAGAAGTAACTCTGTTACAGTTCAGGGCAATTGTATTTCTCTTCCATCAAGGGCACCCAGTCTCAGGCTTCTTTCTTGGGTGGAGACCCGCATGCCACTCCCTTCTGGATTGGAGTATTTCCAGGCTGCACAGTTTCCTGCCTTTCCTGTGTTATTCCCAGCAGAGACGGCTGTCAAACCACATCTGCTTGCTTTCCGTTCAGAGAGAGTAAACAGTGTGACTGCCCACAGATAATAAACAGGTTTCAGAGTAGCAGCCGTGTTAGTCTGTATCCGCAAAAAGAAGAACAGGAGTACTTGTGGCACCTTAGAGACTAACAAATTTATTAGAGCATAAGCTCCCGTAAACTAAGAGCTTATGCTCTACTAAATTTGTTAGTCTC